AATTTTAACCAAACTATGTTACAGACTTTTCATTAAGACCCTAAAGAATCATATCAACTTGTGGAAAATGGGCATTCTATGACCCCTTTAATTAATTTAAATACATTTGGAATGGGGGGAGAATGTATAATTGGATATTAGATTTTTTGTTTGAGCGTACATTCCAGGTAAGAATAGGTGAAGAAATGTCAGCATCGTATGATATCCTGAATGGGACTCCACAAGGAAGTGTAATCGGTCCAATTTTATTTAATGTAATGATTAATTATATATGTGAAAGAGTTAAACCAAACATTGGGAAGGCATTATATGCAGATGATGGTGCAGTATGGAGAAGAGGTAGGAATTTAGGGAATGTAGTTAAAGGAATACAAGAATCAATAAATGAAGTAGAAAGGTGGTCAGTAGATTGGGGATTGAAGTTTTCAGTATCAAAGACTCAATATATGGTTTTTACAAAGAAAAAGAAAATGGAACAAATGACTGAAATTATATGATTAATTGTTAGAAAGAGTCAAATATCTTGGATTAATATTTGATGAAAAATTAACTTGGAAGAGACATATTAAGAAAATTGAAATCAAATGCAAAGGAGTAATAAATTGCATGACTTCAATAGCTAAGCATGAATGGTGAGCAAGGAAAAGTGCAGTGTTACATGTATATCAAGCCTTAATACGGTCTAGTATAGACTATGGGTGTGCAGTGCAGAATTAAAGGAACTGGACAACATACAGTCCAGAGCACTTGAGTCTGCTGTGGAGCAATAAGAGCAACTCCTCTAGATGCCATCAGGGTCGAAACGGGGGAGATGCCATTAGATTTAAGAAGAGAAAAGCTTGCGATGATGTATTGGGTTAATCTACAGGGAAGTAAAAAGAGTCATCGTACACGCACAATTTTAAATGATTGTTGGGAATATAACAAGAATGGAGGGATTAGTTTTGGATGGAAATATGAACAGTGGGTCAAGGAGTGTGGGCTGGAGAATGAAGAAATCTGTCCCAACATGCCATTAAACGGGGTATCGGTATGGAATATTCCTGAACCTATTGTTGAAATGAGATTGTTGGAGGCCCGGGAAAAAGCAGAATAACTTTTTTCTTGATATCAATACAGATTTATCACCCATGTGCGCAAGATATACAGTAGGTGGCGGTAATACTGCTAAGGAGTGAACGGCCATTGAACAAAAAGAAGAAGAAGAAGAAACATAGCTTACTGCTTCCTCCAGACCGCAGGCGGCGCTGTCTCTCGCGCAGACACACGGACGCTGCGCTGCTGCTGCTGATCCGAGCGCTCTTCTGCGGATTCATGCAACATATCTCGCTCTAAACACCTTTTCTCCTCATTTCTGGCTGTTCGTGTGATTTAAGTGAACGCCATGTCCTACAACTACGTGGTGACGGCGCAGAAGCCCACGGCGGTGAACGCCTGCGTCACGGGTGAGAGTTGTTTATCTCCCGCGCTTCGGGCCTAGCGTTAGTGTCGTGTTTCGATCAAAGACTATAAAACGGGTTTAGATCCGTCAGCGTGTGTCTGTAACACCGGCCGATTTCACGGTGCTTCTGCGTGCTGTTAATCGGTATGGATCCGTTGGCGTGTCTGCGACGCTTTGGTGAATATGAGACAAACTTTAGTTTAGATCTGCTGCTCGTGTCACGAGTTGAGTTCAGACCCGTATGAAGCTGTCGAAGAAGAGCTGCAGGTAAACACACCTGTGACAGGTACATGCAGCTCATCGCGTAGTGTTCAGTCATAAACACACGAGTGAGGACACTGTTAGTACGACTGGACTAGCATTAACTTAGACTAGTGGGGAATGTTTAGTTAGGTCTGTGTTCAGTCATAAACACAGGAGTGAGGACACTGATTAGCTTCAGATCTGTGTGTAGTGTGTAGTGTTGATGTCAGTGCTGGTGTCTGTCTGCAGGTCACTTCACTTCTGCGGAGGATCTGAACCTGCTGATCGCCAAGAACACGCGTCTGGAGATCTATGTGGTCACTGCGGAGGGTCTGCGGCCGGTCAAAGAGGTCGGCTTGTACGGCAAGATCGCGGTCATGGAGCTCTTCAGACCCAAGGTGTGCGAGGACACATCCAGAGGAGCTCAGTCTAAAGCAGGCTTCCAGTGTCCGCAAATACAGGCTTGGACTCAGCCAGGATCAGGCCATAGTTCCATTAGGACATTTAAGTAATCTTTATAAACATGCCTTTAAAAAGAAAAAGAAAAACTTTACTGGTGCGCATCTTGAGACAAAACAAAGGCACTGATATATATTAAGATCAGTTCAGTGCATGTTTCTTTCAGCTGAATCGGCTCAGCCCTGCTCTTTAGTCTTTTCTGTGAAACCGAGGGATAATATAAATAAATAAATGTAGTCATTTAGCAGATGCTTTTATCCAAAGCGACTTACAAATGAGGACAATAGAAGCAATCCGAATCAACAAGAGAGCAATGATATCAAGTGCTATAACAAGTCTCAGCTCAACGCAGCACACGTAGCAAGGTTTTTTTTAAATTATATAATAAATAAAAAGAAAACTGATAGAATAGAAAAAGAACAGAGCAAGCTAGTGTTAGAGGCCTTTTTTTGCTTTTGTTCATTGTATAATAAATAAAAAGAAAACAAATAGAATACAAAAAGATTAAAAAAAAAAGGCTAGTGTTAGTTTTTTTTTTTTTTTTAAAGAAAACAAGCAGTTAGTAAATGAATAGAGTGCAAGTCTAAAAGGGAGATTTTCTTTCTGTTGTAAAGAATAGAATTAGAATAGAGAGTGCTAGAGTTAGAGGGTCAAATAAAGATGGAAGAGATGTGTTTTTAGCCGATTCTTGAAGCTGCTGGGATTGAGTTGAGCAGCTCATGAGGAGGAGGGAACAGTTCATTTAAAAATCTGTGAAAGTGATTTTGTGCCTCTTTGAGATGAACAATAAAGCGACGCTCACTTGCAGAACGCAAGCTTCTACATCAGGGCTGTCCAAACTGGGTCCTGGAGGGCCGGTGTCCTGCAGAGTTTACATAAGTCTGAAGTAATTAATTCTGGTAAAGGGGTGCAGAGCCAGTATATAATATAATATACACTGTAATATAGTAACTGTATTTCATCTAATTGGCTTTAATCATTTAATAGTCTGTTGCATTGTGTAGTTATTTTTCAGCTCCACGTGGAATCAGACGCTCTACACATGAACAGTGTGCTCATAATTGCATTTCATATCATTCTGTGTTTAATTCTATTCTAACGGTTTTACTGCACTATCAGTTAGGTGTGTGCGTGATATTGACCAAAATTGACAGCTCTGTGTTCTGGGATTTTGTCGAGTATGTTTTTGGGCTGGTTTTGTCTTCTCGTGGACGGCAGACTTTTCTGTGCACTGGTCTGTACACAGCAGAGACAGGAATGAACTTTTCCATTAAAGGGCAACATTTGCCCACCTTGCGTTGATTCCAAGGGTGTTTTACCATAAGTTCCTTTTTCTCTAACTGCACTGCGGGAGCTGCATCTAAAGCAGTATCTTTGTGTTTACACAGACCAGTTAATGCAGTGTAAATGCATTAATGCCACCTCTGAGCTGCAATTACTATTGCAGAAATAATTCTGTTTGTTTTAAAAAAATAAAATAAAATGATACTTTAAATATGAAACTACAACCTCCAGTAGGTGGCAGTGAAAGTGTGCACTATTAAGGTGTGTTTTTGTTTTACTTTTTGCAAAGTGAGTGACTTATTGGATATTGTCAGAGTTAAAAGAACAATTATGATATAATCATAGATGATAAATATCTGACATCTTTAGTATCAGTGCAGAAACCCCATTGGGGTCTAGTATAAGCCACTGAGAGACACACGTCGATCGATGCTGCTTCTGTGAGAGCACTTGAGTTAGGGCTGTGCAAAAAATCTAATGTGATTTTGTGTAGCTTGTCAGTGAACTACTGCTCTGTGTAGTAAATGCCGCTCCATCTGAAAGCACGTGCTGGAGATTTACTACTAATCACAGGAGCGGCTTTACTGACGAGATGCGCATTAAATTCGCTTTCGATTTTTTGCACAGCCCTAACTTGAGTTTTTCACGCAGATTTCTGCAGCATGTCAACACTTGTCTGATTTGCATAATGTTATTAAAAGCTGTCTGTTTGCTTTATGTGCAGGGTGAGAGCAAAGATCTTCTGTTCATTCTGACCGCTAAATACAACGCCTGTATCCTGGAGTACAAGCAGAACGGAGACAGCATCGACATCATCACCCGCGCTCACGGAAACGTGCAGGTATGATCGTAACCCACACACCTGTCCAAACACACTGCATCATACGGCCTCGGCCTCGTCTGACCGCTGCGTCTGTGTTAGGATCGGATCGGCCGTCCGTCTGAGACCGGGATCATCGGGATCGTGGATCCGGAGTGTCGTATGATCGGCTTGCGGCTGTACGACGGGCTGTTTAAGGTCATTCCTCTGGACCGTGATAACCGCGAGCTCAAAGCCTTCAACATCCGTCTGGAGGAGCTGCAGGTCATAGACGTCCAGTTCCTGTACGGCTGCCAGGCGCCCACCGTCTGCTTCATATATCAGGTATGGATCTTCCTGCGCGATGTGTTTGAGAGCGAGTGTCCCGTCTGCTCATGCGGCTGTGTGTGTGTGTGTGTGTCCAGGATCCTCAGGGTCGGCACGTCAAGACATATGAGGTTTCTCTCAGAGAGAAGGAGTTCAACAAAGGACCCTGGAAGCAGGAGAACATGGAAGCTGAAGCATCGATGGTCATTCCGGGTGAGGTGACGCTTCACAGACGACTGTTCAGATCTGTTGAACTCTGGCTGCTCAAGCGGAAACCCACATCCTTACAAATACTGTATAATAACTTGCATTCATACCAGAACAAGCATTATGCTAATCAGGATAGCATTATGGTTTTATAAATCATGCCGAGTTTGAGACATTTGAACCCTCTGTAAATGTTCTTCACACGCAGCATCTCTTTAGCTAAACTAGGCAGCACTAGTATTTCTTGTAAAAATGCATTTCAACAAACAAATCTGGTCTGATCATAAATTAAACGGTGTTTTCTGATTTGTTAATCAACCAGTGGATCATTAACAATTATAAATTACTGTTTTGAATCATTTATTTTGTTAAAAGGATTTTTAGTCCAAAATGATTGAAATACCATTTTAAAGCTCCTCTGCTTAACTCTGTCATAACATATTGTCTATTACACTGTTATTTAATTGTTCGTTAAATTCATTCTTACAGGCTTTGTTCACCCAAACTTGACTGTAGTGATTCATGTTCATGAAGTTGACTGTTATAGACACGCTGCTTTGAGTCATTGGTGTGAAATGTTGTGTGTTCTCATATATTCAGTCCCAGAGCCGTTTGGAGGAGCTATATTCATCGGACAGGAGTCCATCACTTATCACAACGGAGACAAATACTTAGCCATCGCTCCTCCAACTATCAAGGTGAACACATCTGCTGATGTCCTCCTGTCAGTTTCAAGCTGTCGTTTGTATTCTCATGTACTCCGTGATTAAAGCGTGTTTCAAACATCACAGCAAAGCACCATCGTGTGTCATAACCGCGTGGATCCGAACGGCTCGCGGTACCTGCTGGGAGACATGGAGGGCCGACTCTTCATGCTGCTGCTGGAGAAAGAGGAGCTGATGGACGGAGCTGTGGTGCTCAAAGACCTGCATGTGGAGCTGCTGGGAGAGGTGCGTCAGAGCTGCGCTACACTACACACGCTCTCCTAATGCTCTGTGCTCCTCTCAGCAGACTGCAGGACACTACATCAGTTCAGGACTTAGATTATGTTCTGTGTGTGTGTATACAGTGGTGGCCACAATTATTAGAACACTACTGTTTTCTAGTATTTTCTATCTTTTGCTGTAGTGTGTCAGTAGGAAATATCAGTTTAAATTTCCAAACATTCATTTAGTCATTAATTGTAATAATCCAGTGAGATTATTGTGAAAGTGACGTGACATGTGGCCAAGTATGGTGACCCATACTCGGAATTAGTGCTCTGCATTTAACCCATTGAACACACACACACACCGTGAACACACACCCGGAGCAGTGGGCAGCCATTGTTTTGCTGCGGCTCCCGGGTAGCAGTGGGGGGTTCGGTGTCTTGCTCAAGGACAGCTCAGTCATGGTATTGAAGGTGGGAGAGAGCGCTGTACATTCACTCCCCCCGGAACATTAGGCTGATTAAAAGGTGAAGTGACAGTGCAGATGTGCAGTCAGACAAACCATTAGTTTTCAGTCACAGTCCGGCCTGTAGATCGCTGGATGTGTCCGTTTTATCCGTTCGGTGTTGATTTGATATGACGCAAATTGCAATGCTTAAATCAGATACAGACGTGACTAGTATCTCTGTTTGTGTTCACTAGACCTCTATCGCAGAGTGTCTGACGTATCTGGATAACGGTGTGGTGTTTGTGGGATCCAGACTAGGAGATTCTCAACTAGTTAAGGTTGGTAATCTCACAGATTCATTATTGTTCTGTGATAATGGCGTGTTTAAGGCCACCGCGGTTTGTGTGTGTTTGCAGCTGAATGTGGACAGTAATGACCAGGGTTCGTATGTGGCTGTAATGGAGACCTTCACTAACCTGGGGCCGATAGTGGACATGTGTGTGGTGGACCTGGAGAGACAAGGACAGGGTCAGGTGAGAGACGTCTGCGCATCACTGCGGCCCAGAAGAGCCCTGATTCAGACTCAGTGTGTGTCATCAGTTGCTGTGTGTGTTCCTGCAGCTGGTGACGTGCTCCGGAGCGTTTAAGGAAGGCTCTCTGAGGATAATTCGGAATGGCATTGGGATCCATGAGCACGCCAGCATCGACCTGCCCGGCATCAAAGGTGCGGTTAAGTGCTCTTCATGTTAATCACTAGCCGCTTACATGCTGTGAATGCACAGTATATTTGTGCTGATTTCCTTTTCCTGCTGTGCGAGTACTGCTGATGTTTCAGCCGGGTAACTTGTTAAATGAAGGCACTTTAATTTCTTTAAAAATATTGAACTGCGTAGCAGTTATTAGCATCATCCGAAATTTCTGTATCAACTTTATGTATTATTGAGTCATTCAATTTAACAAGTTAATTCAGTACAATCATTTAAATAAAAAATCTAATTTAAAACATTGCAGCACTTTTCACCTCAGTAATCCGTTTCGTGACGTCTCCTGAGAGCTGAACTTCCTGTCAAACCTAATCCACAGATTGATTGCTGCTTAATGACGACTGTAACGTCATGTAATCTTTTGCAGTTTTAGGTGGAGCCGTTGCACAGCCGACTGATAATGGTTTTTGTAGCGTAACTTTGTGCTGTTCAGTTTGGTTTCTCTGTAGCAAATATCAGATTAAATGAGTGGTTCTGCCGGTTGCTGCTGATCTGCAGCATACTTATGCATTTGACAAAAGCTTTTCTGACATCGAAACCATTTCCAACAAACTGAAGAAATATTGCTTCCTTCCTTGCTTTATCAGCAGGGCTCTGAC